AATTTCCCTCACAAATATTGATCTGAAATAGGACTCTGAGTCTCCATGAAAAATGTATCCATATAACTTTGCATTTATAGCCTTGCGATACATTATCAAGTGAATTCAATGAATTGGCGTTCATTTGCAAATAAAATTTGGTTCATGAATTTAACTCAGAAGACAGGGAGATTATTCTGGAATTCTTTTTTAATACTAAGATTAACTTTTGAATTAGCATAGGAGTAGGAAGGAAAATTTGGGAATTTCAGTTGGAATCAAAAACCAAATCCAAGACAAGAACTGAGCTGAGAAGGAAGAATGTTGGTGGGCTCACTTTTTAATTGCCTTTCTGGTTGCTTTGTCTTGTTGAGACGGCTTTTATTCAGGAGCCCAGACTGACCAGAAACTCACAGCACTCCTCCTGCCTCAAGCTCTTTAGTGGTAGGGTTTCTGGTGTGAGCCCTTGCACACTTCAGGTGAGTTTACTTAACTCAGAGTGCCAGATCAGTTTCAATTCAGTGTTTTGTTTTGTTTTGTTTTGTTTTTTTTTTCCCCCGCAGTTCCACAATAATCTTTGCGTCTTTGTCTACTTACCTGGTGCACACTTGTGAGATTATGAGGGTGACCAAAACTATTAGATTTTATATCTTTAGCTCTTCCTGTCCACATATCACATTTTCCTCTGTTTCATCAAGCAGCATGATTTTTTTTTTCAAAAGAAAAGGAAAGCGCCCTAATTGATATTTCATAAAACTATCAGGAGAATTTGCATCACTTCGAATGTTTCAAAATCAAATCTCCACATTTGTGAAACTTGGATAGTGTGTGCTAGAAAAAAGAAAAAGTACTTAACTGTTTTGTTTTTTAAACCAACCTGTACCTATGCACAAGATGGCTTCATTTCTAGAATCTGAAGTCCAGGGGACAAAGGACTTTTCTGCCACTATGACCCTACCGAGTGCACAGCTCTCTTGTCCCACCGTCCCTTGCTTCATACCTCTAGAGCCCCAGGCTGGACAGTACGTTTCTCTGTTTTCTACCCTTGAGGAAACTAGGGATGAGGACACTTTGGTGGCTTGCCCGGAGTCACTGGAGTGGCTAGAGACTGTTCTGGGGTAGAGTTCATGTCTGGTTTCAGCTCTGCTCTCCCAAACTGACACAGTAGAAGCAATAAAATGGCTTTCAAAGTACTGTTTCTGTTTGCATCAAAGTTTTAAACATTATGGCCAACACCCCGAAGCCACCTTTCCTGGGCATCACTAGCCACAGTGTCAACCTTCCCCATAATGATACCACATGTATGATGGGGACTACGTGGAACATGGGATGGATGAAGGCTTGGGCCCTCCAGTTCTCCAGCTCTCATGGCCCCTAGCATACCTAGCACAGGACTGAATGTTTTATTACCCTCCTCCAACACCACAGTCAAGTGGTCTAAGCCACCTGTCAGTAAACTTAAAAAGACAGCTCAGAGAGAGTTCTGGTAAGAGTGGCCGTGCCCCAGTACTATGTCAGTGTGTGGCTCTCTCCTGGGGCTTCCTCAACCTACTGGAGCAATGGCCTGCACAGGGGGTACTTGGAAGACACACTGTAACCATTCTGAATCACTAATTTATAATCCTGTATGTCGTGCTCACATTCCAGATGTGAGTCTTCTCACATACTTCCGGAAACATTGTGCACTAAAATGGCCAGTGACTGAATTCTGTGGCCTCTGGGTCCCATTGAGAAATGGGAAGAGCAGGGCCACATGATAAATTTGAATTTTGAATATTAGAATGATTACATAAATAAGTTATAAAGTGCTGTATATTGACATTTTTCCTACAAAAAAAAAAATGTACTTCTGCAAGGGCAGGGAAAACAGTCCAGGCAATTGGTCTGGTAGTTTCTTTGGTCCATCGTGTTTGGATCGCATTTTGCTACTTTTTAGCTCTGAGCTCTCAAACTTGGGTCAGGTCAAGTTCCCAGGATTGTTTGCTACCGACATAATTGGTGAGGGCACTGGACCTTGGCATTGGGGACATTTAAGACCAAGTCAAAAAATTTCCCAGCATATTTCTTCTTAGAATAGCCGAGTTCTAGTTCCTGGGAATGATATGTGTTCGCGAGGGGTGTTTAGCATCCTGATGGTGCTTAGAGCTTGATCTCAAGTAGATCAGCTGACGACAGGAAATTTCTATCAAAAAGAAGTGCATTTTGTTGGATTCAGAAGATATATAAAGCATCCAGTGAGATTTTGGTGCATATTCCCAGAATTGGTTTTCATGTAAATCTTCCCTTCGCATTGGCCATGACAAGGAAGATATTTATATGGATCTAACAATCCTATTTTTCCCCCCTGAGCAAAGCCAGTAAAAAATTCTTTTAATGTTTGACCCTTTGGCTTCTCTTCTGGTTCACAGCCCTTTTTGTTTGTCTAGATTATAGCTGTGTCCACCCACAAGGTCTTTAAACCTGACCACAATGGTTTAAAAAAAAAGTATCAACAGTGCTCTTTTTGAGAACGATTTTTTTCCATGCTTTATATACAGCTTAAATGGGAAAATTAATTTACACAACTGTTCTCATGGGAAAACACTTGAACTGTTACTATTGCTAATGATATTCTAATATTTCATGATGTCATTATGATGCTTTTGCTGATCATTTGCATTTTTTATTGCTTGAGAATTTCATATGTGTGTACGATGTATCTGATCCATGTCCTCCCCTCCAGCTTCCCCTCTGTTTCTCCACCACTGCGCTCTCTCCCAGTTTCATACATTTCCTTTTTTTTTTCTTTAAGCCCCCTGGGTTCACTTATTGCTTTCAGTGCAGGGGCATGGGACCTTCTACTGGAACATGGACAGTCTCTTGGGGCTCACATCCCTAAAGAAAACAGGATCTCCCTCTCCCAATTACCATCAGTTGCCAACACCCTCTCAGTTAGAGACAAGACTTTTGGAACACCTCCCCCACTCCATGCTTGGATTTTGTCTGGCTTGACCTTGCATAGGCATTGCCCATGCTGCCACAGCTGTTGTGTGTTCCTAAGTGCAGCTGATGTATTGATTCTGGAGATTACTACTTCACTGTACCTATCTATTACCTACAGCTCCTACAGCCTTCCTGCCCACTTTTCAGTCATGACCCCTGAGCCTTGGGAAGAAAGGGTATGGTACAGACATCTCCTTTAGAGCCGAGCACATTGTAGTTTCTTCCTGTCTTCACGCTGACTAGTTGTGGGTCTCTGTGTTCATTAATGACATTTGTGACAGTATCATCACACTGAAAGTCTGATATCCATAAAGATCGGCTTCATGTTATGACACTGACTCTTCGCCTAGCACTAGATTATTCATTTGTGAATGGTGCTAATATATAAATCTTAAGAAATATTTGCTCCCACGTCCCAAAGTCAGCACCAAAGTTCAGTAGCAATCCTCTTTGTCCATCACTGGGTAGGTTTTGTTTTGTTTGTTTGTTTTTTTTTTTAATCAAAGCAAAGAAATGATATTAGAGTCACCAGTCTGAGTCCTAGAATCATGCTTAGTTTTAGTCAAACATGTAAGGTCAGGATAAAAGTAATGTGTCCTTGTTTTTTTAGACTTTGGAGATCTTAGCCACATAATCTGAGCCTGCAGGAAGAGCTGAGAGCAGAAACTGAAAGCACACTACTGAAATATTCTTGGCAAACCCAACCTTGAGCTCCAGTGGGGCGCTGGCATTTGGAAAATCAGATGCACTGAACCTAATTATGCAAAACAGTTATTTCCAATCTATCATTCATCACAACTCTGTCTAAATCTGAGATTAGTTAATTATCAACAAAGAGAAAGACCTCACCTGCCCTGATCCTTCTCTTCCTGCAAATATCCAGTGATTTTATTTTTCTTTATTTATTTGAAATAAAAATATAATGACATCATCTCCCTTCTTCCCTCCAATCCTTGCAACGCAGCTCCCTTGCCCCCTCTGGAAGAGCTCCAAACCCAGGCTATGGGAAGGTAATCTGCAGTTAAATCCCACGACGGCTGGTGGGTGTCAGTTTGGGGGCTGAGGGTGAACAGTCATTCCTGAAGCAGACTGAAGTCCCCCGTGTTTTTAATGTGCAGTCTCTGCTCAGCAGAGATACTCAGCTCTTCCCCTTGTCACCCCAGGCCCGTGCCATGACACCGTTGCCCTGACCTTTCTCCTCAGGACATTAGATCTCAACCAGTTTCTCGTTTCCTGTCGGTCAGTGCAAGCAATGTCTAAGTATTTCCTGGTGTGGCAGCCCTTGTTTTAGAAGCGTCTTTCTTTGCGGCAGGGCTCCACAGTGACACCTTGCCCAGGCTACACAGGGAGTATTGTGAATAAACGATTCACAACACTGGAGCGCCGAAACACTTATACCCATCAAGTGTGAACAAGCCAGTTACACGTAAGCTTTGGGGCTTTCCCCAGAGGGAGACAGACTCAGTGCAAATGCCTCTGTTTGGTTAGGCAGAGGGAAAGGAAAAAGGATGCAGAGAACTTGTCCTTAAACACCTGCTTCTCAGAGGGCTAGGGGCCACTGTCTGTCCACTCTGGCTCATCCGTTGTCCAGGACAAAGCCTGAGGATGACAGCAATTTCTACTTCTGTTTTCAGGGGTGAACATCCTGATGTCTTTGCTGATGGAGCCCACTGATTTTCTCACCATGTCGAATATTCTCTCTTGCACTAAATCAAAACGATGCATGGACCTTTGGGTTATCTGTCCGCCTGGAGGCAGGCTTCACACATCAGCCTGTGGGGAAAAAGTTTCAGTGGTCCTGTTGGGTGTGGAATTATTTGAGAAACCCTAACATCCGTCCAGTGGCATCAGCTTTGGGAGCAGAACGAGGCAGCTGGATAGGGTGATGAGCTGATTAGTCTGGCCCCTAGCTGTCATTTGGTGTTATTCATTGGTTATTTGTAGATTTTAATCATTACACTATTCCATTCAAATGTTTTTGGATAAAATACTGTTTGGATGTTGGCTGAGTCTTAATGTGCCATCTTCGTTTCTTTCAGCTGGGTCCCGAGCCTCATACAGCAGCCAGCATGGGCACCTGGGCCCTGAACTGCGGGCCCTGCAGTCCCCAGAGCACCACATAGACCCCATCTATGAAGACCGTGTCTATCAGAAGCCTCCTATGAGGAGTCTCAGCCAGAGCCAGGGGGACCCTCTGCCGCCAACACACACTGGCACCTTCCGCACGAGCACAGGTGTGTATTGGGGTACATTCAGGCCTGCCCACTGGGCATGGGGGATATGGACCTCCTTGGAAGCTAAATAATTTTTCCCAAATGAAAGCAGTGTGTGTGTGTGTGTGTGTGTGTGTGTGTGTGTGTGTGTGTGTGTAACCCCAGTCAAGGCTTATAACCTGCTTCTGTCATCAGTATCTTTGATTATCATTGAAAGAATATAACTCCAGCTTAGCTACCTGGTGATTCTATGGAGGGTAGAATCACTAAGGGAATTGTCATTACATCATCAAGTAGAAAAACTCAAAACAAAACAAAAGAACAAACAAAACCTCATGATTGATGTTTTCTGTGCCCTAGGTAGGCGATTTAGTGAAGTATAAGTTCTCCACAAAAGGAATCACAGCCATGTCATAAAATATAGATGCATTATTTTTGTAAGACACTTTTAACGATGCCGTCTACCTTTTAGCAAGCTTGGAGATCAAAATATTTGTTTAAAAAAGTGACATATTTTGAAAGGTAGACTTAGAATATGTTTCATACACACTAATAGTCTAAATCATTCAGAATTGTTATTTAAAGGTTGGGATTTGATGACTCAATAAACACTGTAGTCTCCACCATTAAACATATATATTTTTAGTTGTACATAACCATAAGACACATTGAGAAGGACAGGTGTTTCCTATGACCTATAGCCATTCATAAAGTAGTCTAAGGTTATGATTATGTTCCTAATGATACCGACTTTAATGATAAATATGGAGAAATTAGACAATTGTTGAGCAGTGCACTCCTTGTAAAACCTCACCCTCCCAGGTAAGCAGCAGAGATGCCTGTCTGTTAGCTGCAGGTGAAGCTTACCCTTTCCAGGCTGTGCATGCTCAGAGCCAGGGCTGAGGCATGGGACCACTGAGTACAGTGCGGTGACTCTGTTAAACTGCAGGTGATGTGGGATTACATGTTTTGAAGCTGAGAAAAGCTGCCCTTGTGGCTGATGATGGCTGTTTACATTTCAGTGTTCCACGGCACTGGAAGAGGGAAGGCTCAATGTGCTCCTTGTGACCTCGCCAATGCCATTCAATATTAATAACATATATTTAGACTTAGGGAAGAAAGAACACTGATTTATCCTCGTCAGACCTTTTGTTCACAGCCTGCTATATCTGCTGCTGTCTGGAGCTGGGCCACTTGAATTTTTTTTTTTTTGCAAATTATCAATTTAGATAATTTTATTTCCTTGTATACACTTTCTGAAAAAAGAGGTGACAATCACAGTGACACTGAATACCTAATTTGAATAAAAAAAGAAAACAAGAGAAGTTTATTGACACCCCCCCCCGCTCTATATATGCCTTTAGGACTGTATTTTGTTAGTAAACTTCTGAAGGATCAGTCAAAAATTAGTTACAACAAAAAACTGCCATGTGTATTTCAAGACATAGAAAATGTTCATACTTAAATAAAAGGCAGCTGTTTCTGCCAGCTACTCTTTTATTACTGTAGCAAGATATTTGGAAAAAAAAAAAAAAAAAAAAAAAAAAGCACAACTTAGAAGAGAAAAGGATTCATTTCAGCTTGTATTTGCAGAAGAGACAGGCAGGCATGGTGTCAGGAGGATGACTGATACCATTTCCACACACAGGAAGTAGAGACCAGGAACAGGAACAGGAAGTAAAGTGAGGCTATAAACTCCCAAAGCCCCACCCACAGTGGCACACTGACTCTAGCAAGGCTACACATCTTAAAAGTCCCACAACCTCACAAACACCACCGACTGGGAACCAAGCCTTCAAACCCATGAGCTTAAGGATAGTATTTCTCCTTCAGACCTCCCACTGTTCCACTCTCTAGGCTTAGGGAGTCTACGCCTGTGCTAGGATAAGAGATTAATATGTGCCTTACATGAAATTTAAATTTTAGTGTCCCTGTGTCAAGCTTTGGGTCACACCCTCGCCCGTACCTTTAAGTGTCCCCTACAGCAGCTTTGGGACTGCAGAGGCAGCAGCATGAGGCCATGACAGAAACCATACAGTTCCTAGGACTTGGCCTTTTGCAGAAAGTTTACAAACCTATTTCCCAGTGCCAATGGAGAGACATCTTGAGCAAAGGCATGCTGTGCTTTTATCCTTCGTTTGAGGGCAACCAGCAGTCTCCTCAAAATGCTTCAGAGAGTCTGTTGCAATAGAAACCATGACAGAGACCTGGAAGATGTGGCAGGCAGAGGTTTGACACCTTATGCCAGCTGACACAGTGGAACTTGACATGGTTTGTGAGCAAACGTGATGAGTCACACGGTGCTGTGAGCATCACACGATGCTGTGAGTGTCACACGGTGCTGTGAGCATCACACAATGCTGTGAGCATGTCTAAGAGCACATAGAAAGAAGGAACAAGAAGTGAAGCCCAAGTCTCAAGACACAAACTTCCAACCCACCCCTGCCTGGGAGGCCTTGTGCCTGCCTCTGGCCTGCTTTGTGCTCTCACACTTTTCTAACCCCAGGACCCATTGCTTTAGAGACTGAATGTCTAAGATGATACATTTAGTGTGTGTGTGTGTGTAAGTATGTCTCCATAATCATTTTATTCACAACCCCCTATGTTGTACACATCCCTGTGTCTGGAGATCACTAAAACTGAGCTAAGAGATTTCCAGGGCAAAAATAAATACCCTTAGGAGAAGGGGTCACATTCTAGTGAGACCCTTAGTTTGAGGTACTTGATTCTTCATGCTTAGCTTGGATTGTTGGCTGATGTGATGTGACCAAGGAGCCTTATCTTTCTGCCTTTCAGTGACAGGGAACCAGCTGTAGCTCATTTGTTTCTGTGTCCCCAAACAATACAGACAGTCCTGTATCCAAACAGAAAGTGGGTCACTCTCTTTCACTGCACCCGCTCCTGGAAATAAAGATGAGGGAAAGGCACATCGATGCTTAGAGAATGAGGAGTTGGAGCTGAGAACCAAGGGTGAAGTCCTAAGAACAAAAGCAGGTGGCACATAAATACTTTGGGGACAGCCTCTAGTGCATTTAACATAGTTACTAATCCTGCAGCTGAGGTACATTTTGATGCCTTTTCTATGTATCATAAAGCAGACATGGAGATGTTGCTTCCACAGTCACATAGGTTGTTTGGAGTCAGTCTTTGACATGTCATGTCTAGGCTGTCTTGTCCTAGGTCCTGTTCTTTTTTGACCCCATATTTGTAAATACCATTTGAAGGCCAAACAGGTTCATTTGTTAGCCATGGAGCTTCGTGGCTTTGGATGTTCTCTTATCAAAAAGGTATCTGCTGAGATCTACTGGTGACTGGGTACACTGGCTCATCAGAGTGGCTTGCAGGCTACTGCTTAACTTTGAGCCCATTTCATCTCATATAGTCTCATAAACATAGAAGAAATTGACTAACAAAGGGTGGGAATGCCTGAAAGATGAATGTCATGGATTTGTTTTCAACTGCCTGGGTCTCCTAAGCATCATACTAACTCCATGGCAACTGTCTCCCTGTCCTTTCCTCATACACACTGACCTCATCTCTGGACCACTTGGTGCCTGATTACAGCTATGCTGAATAATAAGCCGCTCTTGAGCAGGGAGATTTTCAGGGAGAAAACTGGACAAAATAAAGAACAAAAACAGAAACAGAAATCATGTCTGCAGATGCAGAAGGGAAAGCGTGTTGAGACTACAAACTTCCCCATCACAAGGAATGTCCCAGGAGTTTCTTCTTGTGTTCACTCATCACTCATCTTTTTCCTGTTTCTTTCCATCCTCCTTTCTCGCTTCCCTTCCTTCTCCATTCCAGTTCTTGGCTGTCTTTCAGATTTGCAGACAAGTGAGTAGATCAAGATTAGAGCACAGCCTACATCTGAAGTAGAAGTGTTTACTTTGTACAATAAAAATAATCATATCACCTGTAGTCCCAAGTCTACCAGATTCCAGGCTTTGCTCTTGACTCGGGTTCTTAGCTAGCTGAGAAATTTTGTTTAGATAGTTAAATTTCCACAGTGTTTCTTGTTTAATTTCTTGTTCAGTGGGTAGATATTTGTATGCATTTAGAATATAATATGTCTTCAAATCATAAGCACACACTTGATGTAAAGTCATTTAGTACTTAAGATAGTGGAGCATATGAGTTCTGTTCTGTAGCCATCTAGATTTTATGGGCAGCTCTGTCTCCATGTTTGAACCTCTTGTTAAGCCAACTAAAGATGAACTGTCACGAACTTTCTAGAGACGGGCAACTAGAATATCTGTTCATGTTCTCTCTGTGGTCTGTCTCCCTGCCTTCTTCCTCTTATGGCTATATTAGGTTTGCTCAGCACCTTTATGTCACCCTAGGCAACAGAAGTGACTCTACCATAGATATGTTAGCACTTTCCCCATTCAGCTATACCATTTTCATCTTCATGGAGAATACTATCCAAAATCTTCATCCAGGCCCATGCAGCTTTCACTTGAAGGCAATTTTAGCACAGTTCTTTCCAAGTGAACAGATACTGATGAATATTTAAATAGAGCAGATAATGACTAAAGATAAAAATCATACAGACTTATCTAGATCTGACATACATATAATCACCTTGTATTTTAATTTTCTTTGGATTTTCTGCAAACTATATTATCATTCAAAGCACATGGGCTGTATTTTCTGGGCATACCCAATATTTAGTGTCCAGCAGATCAAATGTGATGGGACAGGTGGAGAAAGGTTAATCAACCTGGGATTTGGTCCCCATTTTACCCATCCCACCCCCTACCTTCTCCCCTGTGAAATGAAGAGCTGGCGTTGAGAGATGGGACCATTCACTCAGGTCATTGTTGGCCCTAAATGAGGCAGTATGTGATGGCTCATGACGTGGTGTCTGCACAAAAGGGAACTCTGCATGAGGATAGTATTGATTATATTCTTTCCTCATCCCTAGTCAGGGAGGCATTGCCGCACAGAACTGAAAATGGGCTCAGGGTGTTTAAAACACATGGGTATGTTATTATCCATTGATAGCCCCAGCACACACT